ATAAAAGGGTACTACGCCCCATTTTAAATTTTTTTTTTACTTATTTTGCGAGAAAAAAATGTGTGTGTGTGTAGGAAAAGATTAAATATGTGTTCCTCTGGACATAAGTTTCAAACTTTAAATCTGTTTTTTCTAAAAAAAATACAAAACTTTTCTACCCATTTTCTCATTTTTTTTTTTAGAAAAAACTAAAGTGAATTTTGAAAAAGTGGCTCTAGAGGAGCATAGATTTTTAACCTTTACTTACACGTACATATTTTTTTTTTTTTTTAGATAGTCAAAAATAAACTTTAAAAGTGGGGTACTACGAAACCCGTACATTGCAAGATTGTTCGTCTGGAAAGTAGCGCCTCAGTTAGATTTTTAACAAATTAAAATATGTGAATGAAATCAATTTATATTAATATATTTTAGTGATGTTTACGAGGGATAAATAAATTTTACGTAGGTATTTGTACATCTTATTGTTTTACGTAAATCATTTCTGTAATTCTAAGATTGGCACATATAGGGTGTTTCAAAAAGGTATCTCATAAATTCTTTCTCAGATAGATTACCAAAAAATAAGTGAGTTTGGCTATATTCTCACCTATATCAAAAACTGGCTCCTAACAAAGTTACAGGACTTTAAACTAACACTCAAAAAAACGTTTTTTTTTTTTTTTTTGTAAAAAGTTTGCTGTTGCCATTTTTTATTTGAATTTTTTGCCAGTGCTGTAGATTTGAAGGCCCAATATTCTAAGGATAAAACATTAAAGCGACTCCCCTAAAAAAAGTTGGGGGGTTGGGTACCTTTTAACCCCCGTATTTTTTTTTTCTACATAAGGAAACTTGCTTTAATGATCTTAAAATCAAAAAGAACTATGAATTTTTAATTTTTTTTTTTAGCAACATGACCTTTGTATCTTTCTTAGTTAACGAGCTATTTACAATTTTTTAAATGAATTTCTAGAGCAATTCGTCCGTCCTGGACTTAACATATCAACAAAACTAATAGTAGGTGAGGAATTATTTTACAAAAAACGCATTAAAAATCAGTGGTGTATCTAGGGCTTGGACTAGAAAGTTTAACCTCAAAAAAGTTATGTTTAAAACTACTCGGTACAAACCATGTAACTAGCCCCCTTTATAAGAGACAGTTATAAAAATAAATGTATGCGATGTGTTGTGTTCCAATACTATTCGTACAAAATGTTATTACAATGTGGCTTGTAGTTTCGACAAAACCGTACAAAATGTGCATATTTTTTTTTTCAATATCTTGTATATTGAAAACGGATGCAGTTACGAAACTTTTTACTGAACAAACCCAACTGATTTTCCTGTGTTTTACCTATCCTAGCCACCTTTTTCTGAAACACCCTATATATTCAACTAATTTTTAAAATGTAGTGTTTAGAATTAATGGAGCTTTCAATTATCAATTTCCCTATTATCCTATCCGATAATTGTGCTAGTTACACAATAACAAAAAATACGAAAATTTCGGTATTTATTTAATTTTATGTTCGTGGAAATTTGTATATCTCGCGCCGCGCCTGGTCGTGCCGTATATTTAGGTATGTCCACAGGCGCCGGAATTCAAAAATCGCTTTGGGTGCCCGGCTTCTATGCGAAAAATGTGGGCTATCCCCCCACCCTCCACAACTCACTTAAAGGCACCACCGGTTTTTTAAAAAGCTATTTTAAAGTTGATTTTATGAAAATTTTCTTCAAAAAAAAGGTGTTGTCAAATGGCAATTGCTGGATAGGCTGGAGGCTCCCACCTAAAACGGGATATCTGGCAACCCTATATGCTCGGTGCAGCCACCACTGGTATTTTGAAGGTATTTTTAAATTATAACCCCCAAATTTTAAATCGCCACTGTCTTCCTAGCCATTATCTTTTAACGAGTTTTATTTTCTGTAAAAGCCTACCAGTTAATCGAGTAAATGCTAGAAATGCTGATTCTGGGCCTCCATGCAATAATAGAGGTTTTGTTCAAAATGCTATCGGACATTTTGAAGCATCTATGGGGTTATTTGATGACATTCATCAATTATCCGTCGTTGTCGCAGATTTTCCAGTGATGTTGGCTGAACGTCATTTTCAATCAACTCTAGTAATGCTGGATAAATAGCGTTTTCTAATAATTCCAGATACATTTCTGCGGTTAAAGTTTCTGGTAAAAAAGGGACCCATTATATGGTTACCAAAAATGATAGCCCAAACATTCAGTTTTTCCGGATGTTGCGTATGTACTTCATGAAATATTCTGGGATTTGAATCGGACCAATAACGATAGTTGTGACGATTTACCGTACCATTTAGGAAAAAAGTGCATTGTCTGAGTAACACACATTGAAAAGAAATTGCTGATCATTTAATACCCGTTCAGTCATAATTTTACAAAATTGTAATCGCCTATCAAAATCGTCTTCATTAAGTTCTTTTACCAGATGTATTTTGTAGGAAAAAAACTGTTAATATCTTCTGAATACTACGTCTCTTAATACTAGATGTTATTGCCAACTGTCTTGTACTCAATATGGGTTCATGAACAACATGTCCTAAAATCGCCACCTCTATAGCTTCATTTACTACAGAATTTTCCATTTCACGTTATTTGTTAGCTACTGATCCCGTTTTCAAAAATGTTAGGACTAACTCCAAAATGTAATTTCGATGGACTTGTCGATTT